GTGTGTGGGTGGGTGTGTGTGTGTGTGTGTGTGTGTGTGTGTGGGTGCATATATGAAGTGTGTGCCATTGTTCACCTGATTTTGATGCTATTTAGGAGATTGTGATGTTACCCCCTCGGAGGTGAGTGTAGAGCGGGGGTGGGGGGGTGGGGTAAGAGTGTGTGGGGGGCGGGGGCAGAGGGGGGTGGAGTGGGGGGAGGGGGTTGGGGTAGAAGGGGCTGACAGATTTGCCAGTCTGACAATGCCAGATTTCTAACCTCATGGTTAAGCAAACACACTGTGTGTTTTACAGGGGAATTGCTCCTCGAAACACATGGAACTGACTGGTGGTGACCCTGTGCTCCTGACCCTGTATCTCGTGTCTGCTCTCACCTCTCTTCAATCTGATGGACCACTGGCCCTCCTGGTTTATGAGTCACTAACTCTGGTTGGACAAATTTCTGGTGTTGTTATCCCGGTACCTGGTCCTCTGAGTCAAACAGCTCGCGATTTATTGCCTCGGTAACACATGGATGGACCTTGGAAAGAATCCTTCAGTCTCAGAAATGCCAGGACTGCCGTGGAGAGCTGGCAACACTGCCACTTCATGGGCACCATCACTGAGGCTCTCTTTCAGTTCCAGTTTTTTCTAACTGACCTCAAACTCTACCAGAACTGCCCAAATTCAGGCATTCTCGCCCGATTCCCTTACCTGTCCAAGTTCAGTTTGTGTGCCAGCAACCGCCAGTCATTTCCCCTGTTGTTTGGAGCATCCAGGCTGGTGCAGATCTTCTGCCTGATGGAGAAGGGGATTCTGAAGGCACTGGGGCCCACTAGGGTGGTCACGCCGCTGTCTGGTTCATCCAGCAAACTGCTCACTGGCTCCACATCCTGCAACACAGGCAGCGACACGTCAGGGATCACTCCTAGTTCACTGACTCCCTGTCCCCCTGGGTGCTGAATTCCACACTCAGCACCAGGTCACTAAACACAGCTCAGCACCACATGCATGCAAACCTGCCCGAGCAGAACCAACAACACCAATTGCTGCAGAAACTCGGCAGGTCTGGCAGGGTCCATGGGCAGAAAGCAGAATTAACATTTCGAGTCCGGTGACACTTCATCATAGGGTATGGGCTTTGTGAACCTGGCACCCATTCTGCTTGCACAACAGTAGTGAAGGCACTTGCAATACAACTAATTGAACCCAGCAACAATTTGCATTTATATAGTGCCTTTTAATGAACTTCATTGAAGGGTGATGGAACAGAATTTGATACTGAACTCCCTAGGGAGACTTTGGTCTGAGACACAGACTTGAATAAGACTGGCACAAAAATTGCCAGAGGAACTCAGCAGATATGGCAGCGTCTGGGGAAAGAAAGCAGAGTTAATGTTGAGTCCACTGACTGTTCATTGGAGCTCTGTCAATCAGTAAACTCTCGTCCCTGGACCTGAAACTTTAACTCTGTTTCTCTCTCCACAGATGCTGCCAGACCTGCTGAGTTTCTCCAGTTTGTGTTTCAGATTTTCAGCATTTGCAGGACTTTGTTTTTATTTCAGGTCGGAATGAGAGTCTTATAAAAGGAGGAGGAGGTGGAGAGGTTAAAAGGGGAGAAATTCCAGATTTCCGGCGATTGAAGGAAGGGTCACAAACACATGGAATGACAGACAGCAAGGATGAACAAAATGAGAGGAGCACAGAGATTCCGAAGGGTTGTTGGGGCTAGACACACACTCCAGCTCTTGTTATCTCACAGCCTGCTATTACACACAACCCATTGTTAGCCACAAAGCTATTCACCCTCCCAGCCAGATCGTTGTCCACTCCTTTGGAGACAGTAAGAACTGCCGATGCTGGAGTCTGAGATAACACAGCGTGGAGCTGGAGGAACACAGCAGGCCAGGCAGCA